TGTTAGAGGGGAGGAAAAAAGGAGGGGGTGGGGGTATTTTGTCCATTACATATTGTATTACTGTAACTCTGTCCTGACTTCCGTTCTAAAAGAGGGGGTGATGAGAGGTGTTGTTTTATACTGTGGCTCCAAAAGAAACTTGCAATTATTATATTCACCCCAATCATTCATCGTGTTAAAGCCATGCACTATTCACTAATACCGCAAACCAATTTAAAGCTAAGTAAATATTGATTTCTTGAATGATAAAAGTCACCCGATATACGGTCACTCAAAATTAACTTTGGAAATAAGACTGTGCAAAATTTTGTGACGTCAAATAAACTTTAAAGTGTGTTTGCTTGTGTATTGGGGAACATCAGTATCGGTGGAATGAGCATGCATTGCATATCAAATGAATGGAGAGTTTTGTCTCTGCAATGAACAATATTTTATTGCGATAATTTCAAATAGATGAGAAAACAGAGCAGTCACAATAATACCCTGCAAAACTTGGCCATTGATTTCGAGTGCAGCACGTAGGGGGCCTATACCCTTTAGGCATGGGCTATGTCAAATTTTGGCTCTTCTCTATTGCACCAAGTGATGTGGCGTCGGTAGCCGAGTGATTAGGCGACCGAGCGGGTTCGAGGGTTCGAGCCTCAGCTCGGTCCAACGCTGTGTCCTTTGGAAAGGCACTTTATACGAATTTCCCATTTGATTCGGTATTTATCGGAGATGGACGTTGAGTTATGTGTCTGACTGCAAAGTAGAAAAGAAGCGTCGTCTTCCTGGTTGCAGTTCCATTCACATGGTCAAAGAGAAAGACATCCGAATTATGATTTTATTGAAGTATTTTGCTCGGAAAGTTCTAACAGTGCTACAAAAGTTTCGTCAATTGACTCTTCCAAGAATTTTCCCCATAGGTCGTAGGGCTCATGTTCACGTTCAACACAACAGCTTTCAGCAGTATTTTTAATTTTTAAAACAACTTATTTATTTTATTTATTTTTTTTTTGTGGTGGAGGGGGGGGGGGGGTTGTGTGTGTGGTAAATATATTTTGTATTTATTACAATTCCAACATTACCATGGACTGGTGGATGCTGAATTCGAAAACGAAACTCCTCCGTCGACTACAGCAAAATTTTCGTTTTTATCAGCCGAATTCGAATACGTATAAAGGCCTGTGTGGGGGTATACGAATGTGCATAATTATCCATTAATTGCGTTGATTTATATCATTCTGACAGGTTCTACTTTGTAAGAAATATTTGACCTGTCAAGGAATTCGCTGAAAGTGTTCATTCTTTTTCGGACTAACAACAACATGGCCGGGCTGCTGGGCAGCCGTGCCGGATCTCTGGCCCCGTCTCAGACTCGTTCAGCCAGCAGTAGACTCTTGTGCTTCCTTCTGCTCGTCTTCCTGCTCTCGGTCCATCTCTGCCAGTCGTCGGGCCTTGCCCTGGAGGAGGCGGAGGCAGCGTCATTCGTGCGACGGGCCGCCGCCAGCAGGTACCGGCGAGATGTGACCTCGAGGACTGTCGTGGCTCCGAGCACCATCCCTGAGAACGTGAACAACGACGAGGACCTTTTCGACCTGGACGGGGAGGTCCCCGGCGCCACCCATGTGGTCACGGGCAACTCGGTGGACGCGGATATCTTCTTCGTGGAGAGCGGCAAGCTGCGGCTGAAGAGGGGTCTGCCGGAGGACCTGAGGAAGCTCTTCGATTTCGAGACGCACCCAGTGTTCGTGGTGTACGTCAACTCCACCAGTACGACAGACCCCGATGGTGAGATGATTTGTCAGATACGCACGCACGCACACATACATCGCACGCGCGTGCACACACACACACACACACACACACACACACACACACACACACACACACACACACACACATCGCACACACACACACACAAGCACACACACACGCACACACCTATGCACTCTCACACGCACGCACACGCACAC